GCAAATTTACAGCGTCTTTGCCTTAGCACATTCCTCCTGAGCAGCTCCCTGGGAATGTCAGCCACAAAAGCACTTTTCCTTAGAAAACTTAATGCGCACACTAATAAGTACAATGCACCGATTGCTAGTCCTCCTAACTTTAAAGTAGGAACGAATGCTGCTGCTCCTGCTCAAGACCCACAGTCGCTGTGAGAGCCAACCAATCCCAGCAGGTGGCAGCATAGCCGAAGTGCAGTGCAATAGTTGGATCAATCCAAGCCGTGGTTTTTATTTCTCGGCTTTAAGCCCAGGGTTTACCCATAAACCTGGAGCCTTACCTCCAAGGGACTCCGGACCGATATTCTCATGCCAGTTTTCCGTGCTCTGGGTGGAATGCCTCTTCTGTGGAACCGGGTGCTTTAACAGAAATTCCAAGTGAGTTTTGCAGAAGTCTGAATGAGCCTTAGTGAGACGTGAGCTGCCTGATGTGAACTCTAGGACCCAAACTTGGGTCTGCTGCAGGAGCAGCATGGTCCCTCTTAACACAGCCCTTTCTCCAGCCCTTCTTTATGTAGTCCTGGCTGTCTGGAACTTGATAGGCAGACCAGACTAGGCTCAAACTCACAGAGATCCTCCTGCCTTTGCCTTTGCCTCCTGATTGCTGCGATTAAAAGCGTACATCATAATGCCTAGCCATGACTATTTAAAATAAATATTTTGGGGGAGGGGAGGAACAGGGACTCATATATCCCAGGACTGACCTTGAATGTCTGATCATCTGTCTCTCCATATGTGTGTATGTGTACATAATTAAAAAGAAATCTTTAAAAAGATGAAAAATGGCTGGGCATCGGTCACAGCACTTGGGAGGCAGAGGCAGAGGCAGGCGGATCTCTGTGAATTCGAGGTCAGCCTGGTCTACAGAGCCAGTGCCAGGATAGGCTCCAAAGCTACATAGAGAAACCCTGTCTCGAAAAACCAAAAAAAAATGAAAAATGACTACTTGCATAGCTCAAAAAGTACATGAAAGCTCCATATACAACCCTAGCACTACATAGAACAGCATAGTAGCACACACATGTAAACCCAGCACTCAGGAGATGGTGGCACAGTGAGTTCAAGATCATCCTCAGCTACATAAGATTAAGGCTGTATATAAAGGTCTCTGATACACAGTGAGACCCTGCCTCAAAAGCAACAGCAAAACTCCCACCTGCAAACTCTTCTTCAAAGAATACCATGGGGGAAGTGAAAGGTAAAACAAGAATAGGAGAAAGTGTGGCAGGGCGTTGGTGGCGCACGCCTTTAATCTCGGGAGGCAGAAGCAGGTGGATCTCTGTGAGTTCGAGGCCAGCCTGATCTCCAGAGGGAGTGCCTAGATAGGCTCCCAAGCTACACAGAGAAACCCTGTCTCGAAAAACCAAAAAAGAAAAAAAAAAAATAGGAGAAAGTGAGGGGTGAGGCTTAAAAGAGAGAAGCTGGGTTCAATGCAGTTCAGTGCGTATAGGGCTTGTTTTTAGTGTGATGGGGGTGTTCTGCAGGTTGGTGGATAGAACGATAAATCTTAGCGGGGAGGTGGTGGCTGGCGCACGCCTTTAGTCCCAGAGCTCGGGAAGCAAAAGCAGGTGGATTCCTGTGAGATCCAGGCCAGCCTGGTCTACAGAGTGAGTTCCAGAACAGCCAGGGCTACGCAGAGAAACCCTATCTCAAAAAACAACAAAAAAGGTAAGTCTTATGTAAGAATTACAGCACAGTAAAATACATTCTATAATACACTGCTTTTTTTCCCCCCTTTCTCTCCCTGCCTGCTCCCTTGAAACAGTCTCACTGTATAGTTCTGGCTGCCGTGTAACTCACTATGAAGGCCAGGCTAGCCTCTGTCTCCCAAGTGCTGGGGTAAAAGGTGTGCACTATCATACCTGCCATCATCATTAAAACTTTTTATGTTATAGAAGCTGTGCAGTTAGTCATTGCTCATCATTTCTGTGGATGGGTTCCATAATCTCCCAATATACCAAAATCCTCAGATGCACACGTCCTCAAAGGTGTGTGCCACCATACCTGGCCTACGTTGGCTATTAATACAAGTCCTTACTTGTGTAATTACATTCCCAGAAACACACAAAGGTTAAAGATAAACCTCAGAAACAGTGCAGTTTCAGTTTACTCTAGCCTGAGAAGTCATGTGTAACAGGCGTGTCCTTCTCCTTTTAGAAACTGGTCTTACTAAGGGATGACCCATATGAGATGGGTAGCACTGTGAGAGCCTTGCTAACCCATCAATCTCTGGACCCCTAGAAAGGCAACCCAGTCCTCAAAATACAGCTCCTTGGAGCATTCGATACTAGTCTGCACCCTAGCAAGTGAAACCTTTCCTTAGAGAACTGCCCATTTCTCCTTAAACTATAGATGGGTTAATTCTATATTAGGTGAGTTGGATGGTTAACATGAAAACAGTGATTGGCTCACAAGTAAAAGAATTTGACCTAATGTCTTGATCATGTAGTTTATAGCTGAAGCCACTGGGTGCCACTATTGTGCCACCAACGAGCTATAACAGTGGCTAGTACTGGAGGGAAGAAGTAATGACAAAGGATCTGTGTGCACTCTTCTTCCTTGGGCTTGCCACTCAGTCCTACAAAGGCACAGTGTGATCAGGCTTTGAAACCCTGCCGGCTCCTAGCTGTGTGACTATCAGGTTTTAAGTTTTACAGTTAACCTTATCTATAAGATGGACAACTAAGAACATCTTTATGGAGACTTAAGTGGAAATATAGATTAGGTATTCTGTAAATTCTCCTTTCTTCATGATCCCTGAGTTCACTATGGATGACCCTAAGACCATGAGCCATCACTAGAGTCAAATAGGCTCCAGTGGTGAAGAAGTCAGAACGATTCTTTCAAACCTCACTGGGATTCCAGAGAGGTCTACACAGAAGATCTTCAGAAGCAGAGACAGTCCTCGATCCTGAGGGGTCTTCCCGGGTCCTAATGGTGGTTCATGCCGTACTCTCAAGATGTACCCGTTGTAGTGAACTGGACTGTGCCCTTCCCCACATGTCCATGTCCTAACAGCAAGTGCCTGCGAATGTGAGATTATTTGGAAAAAGGGTCTTGGCAGATATAATTAAGGATTCAGCCTGGGCGTTGGTGGTGCACGCCTTTAATCCCAGCACTTGGGAGGCAGAGATAGGTGGATCTCTGTGAGTTTGAGGCCTGGTCTCCAGAGCTAGTGCCAGGATCGACTCCAAAGTTACACAGAGAAATCCTGTCCCAAAAAACAAAACAAAACAAAAAAACCAAAACAACAACAACAAAATTCAGAGATAGGACCACACTGCATGCTAGATTGAAGGCAAGCCCTCCTAAAGCTAGAGAAACAGTTGGGTAGGGAAAGGATAGGTGAAGATGGAGGCAGAAACTGGAGTTATATAAGCCACAAACTAGGAAACCAGAGAGACAGGATGGATTTTCTCCCAGTGTCTATGAAGGAAGCATAGCCCTGCTCACACCTTGACTTTGGACGTCTGGCTCCCAGGACTAACAGAATAAATGATGTCTTTAAGTCATAAGTTTCTGGTAATGTCTTAGAGCACCTCACGGAGACTACTAACACAGTAGTTATGAGTGTTAGATGCTTGAGGTGAAAACCAGTGAGGTTTTGCAGTGAGCCAGCTGAGAGCTGCAGACCAGAGTGATGAGCAATGACAGGAGCAGTCTGTGTGGCTGAGAAGAGGCAAATCCAAGGAGTCCCAAGATCCTTCCATACTGAGCACCTACATTCCATTTCCAGTCAGGTAGACCAAGGTACAAAGGGGAAAACAAATGCAGAGGGCATGTTTGAAGGTCCTGTTCTTTCAGAAAGCCTATTAAAAATCACTCTAGGAAGTGAATGATGAGATACAGTTTGAGGGGCTGGAGAGATGGTGCAGCAGTTAAGAGCGCTGTTCCTTGGGAGGGCAGGAGTTTGGTTTTCAGAATCCCACGACCACATACACCTGCAGCTCCAAGGGATCACATGTGTGAATCAGTATTCTCCCTTTATGGTTGAGCAGTACTCCACCATATAGATACACAGCAAGCTGCTTAGCCACAAGCTCTAGACACAAGATAGTTCCCAGATTGGGGTTCCAACAAACAGGTACTGTGAACATAGATGATACACTAGATTCTGTGTGATCTAGTGGGTAGCTAGGGCAGATAGGTGTATGTGTAATTTCTAAAGAAACTGCCAAATTGTAGGTATATGTGTAATTTCTAAAGAAATTGCCAAATTGAGCCAGGCGTTGGTGGCGCACACCTTTAATCCCAGCACTCAGGAGGCAGAGACAGGCGATCTCTGTGAGTTCGAGGCCAGCCTGGTCTCCAGAGCGGAGTGCCAGGATAGGCTCCAAAGCTACATAGAAAAACCCTATCTCGAAAAACCAAAAAAAAAAAAAAAAAAAAAAAAAAAAAATGCCAAATTGCCTTCCAA